TTTTTTGGGGGGGGGGGGGGTGTTTCGAATAATTATTCTCGCGTCTGAGTCTAGCCTTCATGGCACGAGGTTGAATATCTTATGGCTCAGGGTTTCACGGGTTTACAGTTGCAGCTCTTTGGGTTTACTGTGGCTTTAGAGATGATCTCAAACTCCAGATTCGTCTAAGCCAGCTTCCACCCCGACCTCATGAGTTCAGCCTCAGCTGTACGTCCTAGTCTATGATAGCTATTTCGGTGGACAACACCCGAATAATACTGTTTGAGTCGTTGAGGCTTTCGAACATTTTCAAACTAACTCTGTTCTTAGACAGCTTACCCGAGCCGAGCCATGGCGGCTGTGGCTTCAGAAGGTTACAGTACTAGTGGCTTGGCCGAAAATTATCGGACGAAAGGATTCAGATTTGGGTCAAACCTATGCTTGAGATCCAAGCGCAGATGCGAGAAGCTTTGTGTCTTCATGCAGACAGCCTACGCGTGGGCCTTTGGGCTTGTCAGATTTCAGAAAATCAAGTACACGACTGTGTCATCCTATCCTTTGTCGTTACAGGACCCATTGCATGAAATCAGGTACCGCGGAGTACCCAGATTCCGGCCAGGGCTGTGATATGCCCAGATCATCCCTGGGTCCTTGCGGCACAGATCAACCCAGATCTCGACGAACCCTATGCAAGCCTAATGTAGAGACCCACATAAGTACTTATAAATTTGAGGGCTCCGTAACACAAGATATTATACTAACTACAACTTAGTGTACTTCAAATCTCAACACCCCTTAGGCCCTTTGTCATTAATGTGCCTCCAACGCCGTCTGCAAAGTAACCCCCGGGAACAGCAGATTGCATCATTTCAGCTACTATGAGTACTGTTTCGATAGTATGTACAGCGCTTTGAACATGTACCATGTAGCATCCCCTTATATGAAGCCCGTATAGTCAGCCCTTTCAATGGAAGGTACGGCTGTCGCACATGGCAAAGTCGAAACTGCCGTGGTTGCGTTTCGGCTGATACGCAGTAGGCAACCTGTCAGCCCTCTTTCTTGGTCTGAGTTATATCGTGGTTGCTGTAAATCGTGAAATTTTGAAATTGGCGGGAGAGCACTTCGTCCGTTCCATCCCATCTCACGGAGCGGAGCGCCCGGGAGCGCTACAATGAGAACTTCAAGATGCCTCCCCCCACTACAGGCAACCCCTGCGCTGCACCCCACCAAAGATCCGCTTTCTACTGGGCTTGAAACGCGATGGCTCCGAACCCCTTCGGGGATCTTAGATTCCGAGGTGTTCTCAACGTAGCAGACTTTGGACTGATTTCTTTTTGTGACTCTTTGCACAGTCTGCTCTAGGACCAAAGCGCCGTCGTCCAGATGATGAAGGAGTGGATCGAGTCCCTCCCTTTCCCGGCTCCTTTGCTTCTTCTTGGAGTGACAGAGAAGTTGGTTTCGTTGGGTTCTAAGTTCCAAGCTGCTTGAGTTTGGTTTGAAATTTCGTTCTTTGTTGGACTTCAATCAATCGGGTTCAGATGGGCGTGGGTCGCAGGGCTTGAGAACAGTGTCGGTGTGTTTCGGGTATCATGACTTGCGCTCCCAAGCTCCTTTCGGTTTCGGGAGACGCGCACACTCGCTCTCGGTGGCTTTGAAGCTTGAAGCGGCCCAGAAAATCCTGGGCAGAGGTCTCGTAGAAGTAACTGACTCTCCCGAGTTTCCGCAGCCATGAACGAGTATGAGTACATCTACATGAAGAAGCGCAAGGACTTCGGCCGATATTGTAACTTCGACACGGTTGAGGCAAAGATCCTGGGGCAGGTGGACCATCAGCCTCAATGTGGTGACATGTACGTCGAGCAGACGATCATCAACGCGGTGTTTCACAACATCCCGGAATTCTCCGAGCACTCCGTGAACACTGCCCGAGTCAAGACCTCCGCGCGGGTCATGACTCACGTGGAAGGTGGGTGGTGCAGAAAACAAGGGACTCTTATATGGAATGCAGCACTTTATCACAAAGACCCACGGTTTAAGAGACCCCTATATAAAACAAGAACCCGCCAGGTGGTTGGCCGAAGGAGATTGATTACAGCGAGGCTCAGGATACGTTGAAGTATCGCAAGCGGCTGGAGAAGGATCCGGCCTATGTTAGCGCCGTGAGGCAGCTCACAAAACAAACGGTACCCTGCCTAGAGATGAACAACACCATTGACTTGTTTCAGATCTACTTCCAGGATGAGGAGCCGGATCACATGCCGGAGATTCTCAATCTAAAGACGATCGCACTTTTCAAGGACCCTCCGGATGAAACTCGGAGTGTCACCAAAATTGGATGGCACCCCGAAGGCCCTACGAAGTTGGTAGGCTCGTACTCGAATCTTCGATTCCAGCGCATGTCTGAAGACATGCCGATGTCATCGTTCATTTGGGACATCTCGGAGCGCAACGATCCACTGATGGAGCTGCGGGCACCCTCACCCCTCATTTGCTGCCAGTACAACCAAAAAAATGCGGACTGGCTCTTGGGTGGCAGCTACAACGGCCTCATCAATCACTACGACTTGCGCAAGGGCCCCTCACCATGCATGAAGTCGTCGGTGGAGGTGGGCCACTACGATCCCGTCTATGACGTGGTCTGGCTCCAGAGTAAGACTGGAACCGAGTGTGCCTCGGTCTCCTCGGACGGTCGCCTCCTCTTCTGGGACGTGCGGAAGTTGAGTGAGGTTCAGGACGAGTGCGTGCTGAATGATGGCAACAAGGAGCATCCCAAGACCCTTGGAGGCACTTCCCTGGAATGGATGCAGGAAGCAGGGCCCACGAAGTTCTTGGTCGGCTCCGAGCACGGCATCATCTTGTCCTGCACCAAGCGGCCTAAGAAGCAGGTCGGAAAAAGATCCTCAACCCCAGACCTGGGTTCTTAGTTTAAGTTACCATGCTATGAGGAAACACACTACGATTTACTATAGACCCTGGTCATCGCCAGTTAAGTTACATGAGTTCCGCAACAAGAACCTACTCACAAGAAGCCCCTAAAGCCACACACCTTAAAGAGGAAACACGACGATTTACTATAGACCCTTGTCATCACAAGAAGCCCCCTAAACCCACACACCTTAAAGCCCCAGGTGGAAATCGGATCTTGGTTCGGGTCCGAGGACCGGGGAGGCTATGGCAAGCACTTCGGCCCGGTCTATTCCGTGAAGCGCAACCCCTTCCATGCCACTCACCGGAGCTTAAGGGCGGCGGAGGAGGGAAGATTGGGGGTATAGGAAGCTGTACAATATAAGGACTATAAAAATAATAATAAGAATAATAATAATAGTAGTAATCATAATAATAATAACAACAATAAAGAAGGGGTCCACCCTCTCTTTGCCCCTTAACACCGAGGTGAAGTTCTTCCTTTCTGTGGGCGATTGGTGTGCGAAGATGTGGATGGAAGAGCTGAAAGGCCCAATGCTTCAGACGCCCTACTACCCGGCCTTCATCAGCGCAGCGGGGTGGAGTCCTACTCGAGCCGGCGTCTTCTTCCTGGCGCGGCAGGACGGTCGGCTAGACGTCTGGGACTACTTCTACCGAATGAATGAGGTCGCCCTGACGCAGCAGGTCTCCGATCGGGCTTTGACGTGCTTCAACGTCCAAGCTCAGGGCCGGCTGGCGGCTGTGGGGGACGCGGGAGGGACCATCACCTTGCTGCAGCTTTGCGATGGTCTCGTCGACCCAGGTCCTAACGAGAAGAACTTGATTGGCATGATGCTCGACCGCGAGACCAAGCGAGAGAAGAGCTTGGATCAGATCAAGAAGCAGGGAGGTGTCGCGAGAAAGGACGACAAGGACGGGGCCGGTGGCATGACCATCGACAAAACCAAGTACCAGGAACGAGAGAAGGCATTTTTCACCGAGCTGAACATGACCGGCGATGACCTGGGAACCACCCTTCCAGCACGTTAGGATGTTGAGCTGCGCACGATCCATCGGCCGAAGCCCGAGGTCGGAAGACTCATTACACGGTCACCGGGATGAGATGGTATGTATAGCCCTTTCAGCCATCTCTCGTCCCGTGCCGTAGCGGAGCTATGGAAGACGCCCGTACAGTACCTTTGACCCCGGCTCGACCTGGCCAGGATAAGCTGATCAGCTAATTGCTCTATCGCGTTCTTGTGGCGGTTCGACCGCTCTTCAGGGCAGGCTCCTAGCCAGGTTCTGTCTCAGGTCCATGCACGTCTGCATATTGGATAAAACCTCCGCAGTGCTGCCCTAAGGGCCAGCCAGGCAGGAGTCCAGGAAAACAAGGAGCCCTTGCGAACAGGGAGCCTCAACTGGCATGTTCGACTTCTATAGCGAACAGTTTAATATACTGAGCTTCATGCCTATGCCTGACCTTGGAACCTCTTCTGCATTCTCCGTGTTTTGTTCTAAAAGTTGGCACTCTGCTGCTGCTGCTGCTGCTGCGGCGGCGGCGGCGACGACTACGACTACTGCGACTACGACGACTACGACTACGACGACGACTACGACTACTACGACGACTACGACTACTACGACGACGACGACTACTACTACTGCTACTGCTACTACTGCTACTACTGCTACTACCGCTACGACTGCTACGACTGCTGCTACGGCTGCGACTGCTGCTACTGCTACTGCTACTGCTCCTGCTCCTGCTCCTGCTCCTGCTCCTGCTGCTGCTGCTGCTGCTGCTGCTGGTGCTGCTACTGCTACTGCTGCTGCATGCCACTACGACGACGACAACGGGATTCTCGTGTTAGGGTGAGGGTCGGGTGCCCTTTACGGTTTCCAACGGCTCATCT